TCTGTTGGTAGGAAATACATTTCCTTTCTTTTCTTCTTTCTTTCTTTATTTTTATTTTATTTTTATTTTTTTGAGACAGCATATAACCTTGTTGCCCAGGCTAGAGGAGGTGGTGCCATAATGGCTCACTGTAGCTTCAGCCCCCTCCATCCCACCTCCAACCCCTGGCAGCAATCTTCCCACCTCAACCTCCCAAGTAGCTGGGACCATAGGCATGAACCACCATGTCCAGCTTTTTTGTTTGTTTGTTTTTGTTTTGTAGTACCAAGGTTTCCTTATGTTCCCCAGGCTGGTTTTGAACTCCGGGGCTCTAGTGATCCTCCTGCCTTGGCCTCTTAAAGGACTGAGATTATAGGTGCCCTCAGAGAATAAGATTTGATTGATGGGAAGAAGAAAAGAGAGGCACGCATTTGGACCCTACAGGTCCATTGACTTTGCAGAAATATGGTCCAAGGCAGAAGATGATGGAACTACTTGAATGATCCTATGAATTTCTGAATCTAAAAGGATTCCAAAGCCCTAGATGATCAAATATGGCACACAGCAGGGCCCTACTGTCCCTGAGCTCAGTTAGGAACCTAGCACTATTCTGGTACCACAAGTAGCAAAAGCTTTGCGGGCATTCAAATATTGTCCTTGGCATGAATATTACTTTCATGACAGGTATCTTAGGTATATCAGTTCAGATTGGAACCAAAGAAGCTGGGGAAAAAGAACAAGAAAAGGAAATGGTCTGTGGTCACTGCCACTGACTCACTGGGTTATAAAGACGGTTTGAAGATTTCTAGAAATAACAGGAGGATGCCTGGGAGAAGACACTGAGGTATTTGTATTACTAATGTAGGCTCTATTTAGCTAGAATGCATTTAGCCATTATATTACTGTCTGCAAAGCAAATAATGCTAAAGAAAGATTTTCTAATGTAAAAAGAAACATACATTCATACAAATTTCATTCTAATTATTCTCTTTATGTAGTAGGACAATTTCCAGCTGAAGAAGTGATCTACCTGAATAAGCATTTCTTAGATGTTTCTTTTATATCTGAATTAGAGTTCTGGTTTTGTTCCCAGCCTCACCTCTGACTCATTATTGTGAAACTAAGAAATCATTTAGCCTCTCAGCACCATAAAATCTCTCTTCTGTGAATGAGGATAATAGGTAAACCTATTCTTGCTTCACTGAATTGTTGTGAAGTTTAATTAGATAATGTTTACACAGCCCTTTGAACTCTACTAATTAAAGTGATGTGTAAATATGTTGCTTCATTTTATCAGGATGGCTTGACTGAGCCATTTCATGAAGAGTTACAGATGACTGTGATAGGAGGATCCATAGGGAAGTGGTTAATTTTATTTTTTAATTCATGCTAACTCAATTCTGAGATTGTCAAATAGACATATGAAAATACCCAGTTTGGGCTCTAATTGGTGAAAATAAGGATATAGCCACCTACTAGCTGAAAAGCTAATGGTCACACCTTCACATTAGGGAAAGCTTAGCTCCTAGGGTACAGACTAGTGCTTTGTTTGATTTAGGTACTGCTATCATTTTTTCCAGGTTATCTTTATTCAGTATATTTTTGCCTAGGCAACATAAGTGATTTATTTTATATTTGTCATATAATGAATCACAAAATAACATATTTATAGTCACTTGATGTGAAATACATAAGGCTTACAGTAGTGTGAATCTATATAGATTATCCATTGGTTCATCTATTTATTAAAGAGATTTTCACCTGTAACGAAAAATCTTAGATAAATCAAAAATCTTCCTACTAAGTTTTCCGAGAAGACTGTTTCACCCTAAAATTATCATCTCAATTACTTTTGAAATTCTGCATTAATAATAGACCCTTTCTTCTGTCAGAAATAAGTTCATAAAAGGATTAATTAGCTTGGTGGGGGGAACACAAGTTTTTCTCCATAACCCTTCTTTATGCTTTAGTGTATAATTATCTTTGTTAGAATTTTCTAAGTGATCATATTATATCACTTAGAATTGTTAGGTATGTAACAATTCAATTTCATATGCTACTAAATGACCCAGAATTTAGAGTTAATATAGTTTGTTCGAAACTTTGTTAACTGATATGGGAGTTTTGAAAACTACTAAATATCAGAAGGACATTTTACAGCAGGAAATGATCCTGTAAAATCTAGTAGCTGGTTTATTATACTTGTAATACATAATAAATACATTATACATAATAATAAATAATATATAAATGATGTATAAATAAAATATGTGCTTTTATAATAAATAATGTATAAATGTATGAATAAATTTTATGTGCTTTCATTACCTACATACTTCAGGAATCTGTCTGCTGATGGACCAGCATAACATAAAAGCACTTTGAACTGTTGGAAACTTCAAATTCAGAGTCTGATTTTATATCTTCTGAAATATATGTTCTACTTCAAATCCTCACCAGTGTTATATGAGTAGAATTACAGAGAAATTTCAAATTATTTAGGTCCAGGTTGAAGACTTGTGAAAAGTGTGATGGTGCCCCAATAAACTCTAAGGCATAATAGCAGAAGGTATACCTTTTGATATTTCCAGAAGAAGGCAGATAAGTATGAATTATTTTGAGCTAAGGAGACACTACGGAAAACAAAATACAGATCTAAAACTGTAAAACATATAGCCTTAGGATGCACAAAGATAAAATAGAATTCAAATTTGCTACCATGGAGAATGAATATTCTATTTATGGCCCTAAGGTCCTCAGTGAATCTCTATCCCTACACATTGGGGTTTTTAGACCTTCTTTTTATAAACAAAAAGATAAATGTTAGTTTTAGGTATTAGCTAGTGGTTTAAGCGGGTATTATGTAAGTTTAGATAAAGGTCAATCTGAACCTGCGTAGGTATAGCCCCAATAATCCTGATGATAATATCAAACTTTTACCCACAAAAATTCTGGCACGTCTTTGATATTTTCAATTTGAGCTTGATTTTGATACAAAGTTTATCCAAACTAGCTGTGAATAGGGCTTTCTAAGGGATTTTAAGAAAGAGATCATCAGGACATCATTTAATCTGGCAACTCCACTTTCAGAGTATCAAATTACCAGGTGTGAGATCACAGAGGAGGAAAGACTATATTTCCGTTCTAGATCTGGACATAAGGATTGTTTAGGAATTATTAGAAATGCCACCACCTGCATAATATGTTTATTCAAAGGGAAAGGGAAATGTTGAATAAGAATAGAAGAATGTAAGACTAATATGATAGTACCTACATCAATCAAAAGGTTGTTCTTTAACACTGTAAGAAATTTCTGTTTGTGAATTTAAGGGTAAAATGAGAAACTGGGAATTTGATTTGCTTTAAAGTACTTTCATTTTCCATCCTTAATTTTTTTACTTTTTTTTTAATAAATTAATTTTTTTTTTTTTTTTTTTTTTTTTTTTTGGCCAGTGTTCTTTCTGTTGACAGTATCTGCAAATGTCTTTACCAAATGACTCCCACTTTAGGGAGTGTTTAATGATTGGTAATGTCTGATTGTGTTATCTGTGAGGGCCTAAATTTAATTTAAGTCTTATTTGATTTTTGTGCCGAGTCCCTTTCAAAATGTTCAACAACGTGCTAGAGGTCTGGCAATAGGCTGTTTCCATTTTCTGCTTTTTTATTGCATTTTAACTCTTTTAATTCTAGCTTAAGGTCATTCACAAGGAAATGAACAGAAAGTGAGGCTTCATCTGAATTAGTGTTTACTTCTGAATTCTGTCAAAAGGTGTCAAATAACTTATCACTGAACTCCCTAATGGATTGATTCTTTCTTTGCTTATAGGATTGCATCAGAGTCCAATCTATGTTCAAAGGAATAATTTGGGGGGTAGCTTCTAAAAGACATTAAAAATCTACAGCTTCCAAAATCCCTCTGATTTCCTATGCAGTTAGGAACCTTTGTATTATGCCTTTTTATTCAGTTATTTTGTATCTGAGCATATGAAATAATAAATGTAGATTTGAGAAGCATGGATTGTACATTCCTAAAACTATTCCTGATGCCTCTGCAAATTTTATCATGGCCAGGCTTTGGGTAAATTTTAATATTGGCTTTTAGCTCAGAATGGGATGAGATCTTAAAATTAACAGTAAGAGGTGGTTTTTTTTTCTGCTTTGAAGGTGTCTTAACTTTATAAGGTAATGCATTTTATGGGTTTCTGGACAGCCAGAAGGAGGAAAGGGGAAAAAGTCAGAAGGAGATGGAGAAACAGGCTGGAGAAGAAGAATAATAGGATAAAGACCATTAGATTTGTGTTGAAGTTTGGAAGAATCTGAAAGAGATTAAGTATTTCACTTTTTTTATTATTATTATTATTATTATTATTATTATTATTATTTGCCTCAACAAAGGAATCTTTGAAGAGAACAATTTTGAAGTCTGAATAATTTTGAATACTTCCTCAAACACAGTAACAATGCAGACCGTTGGATGTTTGGAATTGTATTTTTTATGTTCTCAGGTGCCTCTAAAATGAACACTTTTGTTCATATCAAAACTCCCTGAAAATGTCTATTATAATTCTATATCATCTTTAGTGAAACTAAGCCATTTAGAGATATAATAAACGTAAGAATTTGGGTTATGGTATAAATATATGTACAAAGAAAGAATCTGTCAGAGGGAGGAATGGTCTTCAGTTTAAACTGAGATAAGTCCAGTAGAGTCTAGGAACCATCAGGTGAAAGTACCGCTTGTGTGCTTCCTGCCTCAGCCCCTCATGACCTGTTGTCTGGGCCATCTCCAGCTGCAAACGTCACACATGTGCAGTTCAGGGACAGTAAGTTTTAGAGCATTTCACAAGACAGACTGGAAAAAGCACACCTGAGATTTTGGTACGTGACCTGAGGCAAAGTTTTTCCAGAGTTTTCTAAAGTTGGGAGGAACTTTCTGAATTTTTCAGTCCTCAAGATCAGTTTGATTTTTCTTTTCTTTCTTTTCTTTTCTTTTGTCTTCTTTTCTTTGCTTTTCCAAGTAGAGATGGGGGTTCACCATGTTGGCCAGGCTGGTCTCCAATTCCTCACCTCAAGTGATATACCTGCTTCAACCTCCCAAAGTGCTGGGATTACAGGCATGAGCCACCATGCCCAGCCCATCAAGGTCAGTTTGAGGATGGATTTATCTGGTTTACACCCATTACCTTTCTGTGAACTTTGCTTTTATAGAGATACAAAAAAATGACAGGGATAGAGACATATAGTGCAGTTAATAATAAAACTGATTTCTACCAAGGATAAAAGTTATTCAAATCTGATAGATAATCAAAGGATTCCTTAAAAAGGGCTTCTTATTCATAGAAGACAAAATAAATGCAGTGCATGGGGAACTTTAAGTGAAAAAATATATATAAGAGTATATTTCCTCAAACACAGTAACAATGCAAGACTCAACGTAAGACATACCTCATTATAACAGAGACCAACAATTACTTACTCTAGCAGGAAGTTTAATAGGCCACAGGGCACTCATGATTTTTGACTTAAGGTCCTGGATCATGTACAAGAGAAGTCCTTGACTAGATCTTTGTGGATTTTTAAGATTATTGAATGCTGATTCCCCAAAAATATCACCCAAACAATTCAGTGTTATGACAAATCTTAGTTTATGGTCACTGTAGCATGTGTAAGAACTGCAGTGACAGAGCCTTAGTAGCAGTGGTATGCTGAAGCTGGCTCCACCAGCCTGCGAGATTGATTCTGAACATCTCTTCCCCAATCCATGTTCAGTGAGGTCACATTAGTAGCTTGAAGTCAGCCATGGTAGGACTCTGCTATAGAAATCATCATATTCTACACATCAGAGATACTTTTCTCTCCTGGAGAGCCAGGTAACCTTAGTAACCTGTTAGAGTATAGGGCAAAGTTGAAATATTTATAAGATGTTAGAGTTTGTTTCAAAGCAAGTCTTTTTTTTATTATTTTTCTACTTTAAGTTCCAGGATACATGTGGAAAACATACAGGTTTGTTACATAGGTATTTGTGTGCCATGGTAGTTTGCTGCACCTATCAACGCGTCGTCTAGGTTTTAAGCCCAACATACGTTAGCTATTTGTCCTGATGCTAACCCACCCCCAACAGGTCCCAATGTGTGTTGTTCCCCTCTCTGTGTTTACGTATTCTCATTGTTCCACTCCCACTTATGAGTGAGAACATGTGGTGTTTGATTTTCTGTTGTGTTAGTTTGCTGAGGATGATGGCTACCAGCTTCATCCATGTCCCTGCAAAGGTCATGATCTCATTCCTTTTTGTGGCTGCATAGTATCCCATGATGTATATATATACCACATTTTCTTTATCCAGTTTATCATTGATGGGCATTTGGGTTGGTTCCAAGTCTTTGCTGTTGTAAATAGTGCTGCAATAAACATACGTGTGCATGTGTCTTTATAGTAGAATGATTTATAATCCTTTGGGTATCTATCAGTAATGGGATTGCTAGTTCAAATGGTATTTCTAATTTTAGATCCTTGAGGAATCTTCACACTGTCTTCTACAATGGTTGAACTAATTTATATTCTCGCCAACAATGTAAAAGAGTTCCTGTTTCTCCATGGCATCACCAGCATGTTATTTCTTGACTTTTTGATAATTGCCCTTCTGACTGGCATGAGATGATATCCCATTGTGCTTTTGATTTGCATTTCTCTAATGATCAGTGAGTTGAGCTTTTTTTCATATGTCTGTTGGCCACATAAATCTCTTCTTTTGAGAAGTACCTATTCATACCCTTTGCCCATTGTTTGATAAGGTTGTTTGTTTTTTCTCTTATAAATTTGTTCAAGTTCCTTATAAATTCTAGATATTAGACCTTTGTCAAATGGTGGATTTCAAAATGTTCTCCCACTCTGTAGGTTGTCTGTTCACTCTGATGATCATTTCTTTTGCTGTGCTGAAGCTATTTAGTTTAATTAGATCCCATTTGTCAATTTTGTTGCAATTGCTTTTGGTCATTTCCTCATAAGTCTTTGTCCATGCTGATGCTCTGAGTGGTATTGCAAGGCAAATCCTTTAATGTGCCTTATGGGAGCTTGCTTAGAATTGGATAATGATTATAATATGCAAGTTTAGGATTGGTGGATACAAGGAGAGTGTTTTGAAGCAAGGGTTTCAAAATGTCCTACACAATAAGCTGTTTGTTGCTACCTACTGAAAAATCAAAAGGTTTGCTGTTCATTAAATGAATTTTTCAGTAAGTTCCTGAGGCAAAACCACTTTCAACTTTCATCTTTCTGAGCAAGAGTTTTCTCCAGTAAGAAAGTTATGTAGATGAAGACAGCTGAATAATAAAATAATGTTACTATTACAACTTATATGAGCTATGTGAGTGTGGACAGTTTGGGTTCTCACATATAATGGTTGAGCTCTCAAATTATATAAGAGTTAAGATTTGGTTCCCATGGAATTATAACAGCAACAACAGAAAAAGTAAAGCTCATAGGAATTATTCACTTGAAATTGTTCATTTTCAACTCTGACAAAAAGAAAAAAATTCTGTCTATGCATCCTAGTGATATATGTATTTTCTTTATCTAATATTTAAATATATTTAATTATATTTTATCAAATGACAAGAATTTATATTGCATTTGTATGATTAGGAAATTAAACATATCAAGTCTAAGAAATTTCTTTTCAATATCTATAAAAATACAATGATTGACCAACTATGTGCTTTCAATCATTTGCCTCTACAAGACAGCAACATAAGTGGACTACTTAAGAGTATTCAGCATAACTAAAATAGGGATTGTATATGTTTGTTATAATTCCAACCACTAAATATAATTTATGTTATTTCTCTGTCTTCTTAAGTAGAATGAATGATAGATAGATTCAAAGATCAACACAACCTCAGAAATTAATTACTTGGAAAAAGTTTTTTATTATGATTTGAAAGAACAAAGGAGAATGTTGAAATTTTAGAATTGAAAGATATCACTAATACAGAAGTTTATAAATCTGCCAGAAGCTTAGAGAAGACCCAGATGCTTTAGTAGGCCCAACACCATGAGGACAGCATGGAGGATCAAAAGGGGGCCCAGTACCTCTATCACTTGCATAAGAATGATAAGACAGAACACTCATACAAATCAGCCAAAGGAGATATTTTTATTCACAGATATGCAGCAAGAATAAACAGAAGCCTAGAATCCTTGATGAACCAACTTCCCAAGGATGAGGAAACTGTCTAGGGCAGATGGAGTCTCATCTTTGTTTGCCCCATGTGACACAGCTGAGGAAACTCAAAAGCACTTTTCCCTGAGTTTATACACCTTGGGCACCACTTAAATTGCTGAGGTCAAGCATTGGGAAACATCTCATTCTAGGAGGGAGGAGGACGTAGCCTAGATTGTATCCAACACTTTCTCTTTATCTCAAGATGCCCTATTCTAGTTACTAGGATGCCCCATTGAGAATTAGAATGGGATAAAAATTCTCTGTTAAGTGGAAGTGGAAAGAACTAGGGCAGCCAAGGTCATTTGGGGACTTGTCCGCCTACAACTAACCTTTCCAGTTCAATCCCTCCTTTATTTTGAATATTGCTTATAAGGAATAAGGACACTATATAGTTTCTCTTTATGGTATGTTATATTACCCTTAAAATCTTCTTTATATTGAACTAAAATATACTTCCTCCCTTTGTGTTTTTTTCCTTTCTTCTTCTCTCTGAAACCATATAGAGTGAAATCATCTTGATTTTCAGTTTAACATATTGAAGAAACTACTGTAGTTCTTGGGTTTTTCTCATTTTGTTTTTAGGTATATGCATTTGTTTGTTTGTTTGTTTGTTTCTGTGATAGGCAGCCTAAGTTCATTCAACCATTTCTCTATTGCAGAGGTTTTCACTGTGTGGTCAGTGCACTGGTGATTTTCTGTGACTACTTCATACCCTCTACACATTATGTGTTATAGGTCTACAAGAAGATAGGGAACTTGCACCAGACTGTAAATCAACACACCATTTACTTCATTGAAAACGTTTTGGTACAAAAAACAAAAATAAAGTTAGCTGAATTAAACTGTGTTTACTGATATAGTTGCTTTATATATGTTGTGGCACAAGATTTTATCATATTGTGGATCAGTAATAAGCGATTGAACCAGCTAGTCTGATAGCAAGTGATAAGAATTTGACATGATTTCGAGACTGGTTCTAATCTTTCTTCCTTAGACCAGCCTCTGATATACAACCAACTATTCCAGAGAGTTTGCTCAAAATATATTGGAAAATATTACATTCTAGTATCTGGAGACCATCTTAGTTTTGTACTAAGTTTTTAATCAAGTACAGTACTTTGTGAGAATTATACATTTGTTTCCATTCAGATTCTTCTTGATACTTAGGATCCATCATTCAAAAATTACAACCCAGTAACCATTCTGTCTTATTTTGTGTCATTTTCAAATATGGGCTGTGTAGCTACTGGTATGTTTAAAAAAAAAGTCACTTAGACAACCACCTTTTAAAAAATTTTTTCCTGAGTCCATAGTTCAGCTGGTCAGTTATGGTGACTGTAACTCATTAATTTCTGACAATCTTCCTGGGGCCTGATCAAGCATCTGTCATCACTGGTTATTGGGAGGGGGCTGATCAGTCTAGCATGGCCTTGGCTAAAGTGACTCAGCTGTCCTCTACAGTACTTGTATCTTTCAGTAGGCTAGCTTCAGCTTGGTCTCATGGCCATGACATGATTCCAAGAGAGACAAGAAGCACACAAGACCTTTGTAAGGATCAGTCCCACCACTGGCTTAGAGTAAAGGAGAAAAATGGTGGAAAATGGATCTGGAGGAGAACAAAAATAAATCCATCACAATGCCAATGTGTTCTTCCAAATTATTTATTAAAAATTTGAACATGGTATTGACAAATACTTTTCACAGAAAACCTCATTAGACCTTGTTACAAATGCTTGATCAACAGTTTTGTAATATGTTATTTAACCACCTATGGCTCTACCAATAGGTTCTTTTATCTAACCTACATTTTTCCAGTCAAAAGAGTTCAGTGAAAAGTTTTCTAAAACTTGATGCTGTAATTAAGAAATTGTCTATCATTTTCTGAATATAAATGATCATCACTGCATTATTTATAATAGCAAAATATTAGAAACACTGAAGGAATGAATATGTTTTTATGGTAATCCATACAATGAATTAGTTTATATAGCTTCTAATTTTCAAGTAAAATGAAATGGGAAAATGCTCATAATTTAGTGAGAGAGCGGTGAGACACATAGTGAGACACAACATCAATGAAATACAGGTTTCATATTTTATATTTAATATATAAATATTTTGAAATCCTAGAAATAAATACACTAAAAATACTAATACTTATTTTCTTTGGATGGTAGGATAATAGTGCTTTTATTTTCATATTAAATATTTATGTATTTTCCAAATTTTCTACAGTGGACATAAAAAGCATCATTATCCAAAAAAGATAAACATTTACAGTTTTTTTCTATTTTATGATTTTCTGGGGAATTAAAATCAAGCTCATACTTTTCTCTATTTTGAAAATTGTGCAATTTGTTTATTGCCATTTAATATTCCCTGAGATGTTATATAATCAGAGGGAGATTAGGATACTTGCAATTAGCATAGTAGCTGGACTTTAATAACTATTTTGTGAATATTTTTATGTTGAAATTTTTTTCTGCAGCTATACTCAATGTATGTCCTCTTTTTCTCTTGGATACCAAAAAGAAACAGGATTTTATGACTATGTGGAGCAATGCATAATATCTATGTCAGAACAAATAAAAAGGATAAGTTCTATATCACAGGATAGGAAAGCAAGGGAAAAATATGTCTCAAACATTGATTCTTCTTCTGTTACCTCATTATGAAACTAAGGAAGCTATCCCATAGCTACCTCTATGTTGGCATTGATCATTTGTTTATAGCCTTTAAACTCTTGCTAGCAGTAAAATTCATGTTATGAGATGATATTTAAGCTATCTGTAATGCTTAAATGGATAGTTCAGGTGCTAGAGTGTCTCTAACAACACAGTGGGTAGGCTTTTCCTGCAAGGGATCTAGAATACGAATGTGAGTAAATCATCTACCAGACACCATGGCAACCAGAAGTATTGTGATATAATAATAGAGATGACTAGGGAGTCTCTGATTCTGAGACTCCACTGAGAAGTGGAGAGGATTGTGTTACTTCTTGACCAATAGTATATGACAGAAGTGACATTATGCTAGTTTCCTGGTCCAAGCATTAAGAGACTGGCAACTAATACTTCTGATCTTCTGGAACACTCACTTTTGGAAGCCAGCTGCCAGGCTGTGAGAAACCCAAGCCCCATGGAGAGTTCATGCATTTGTATTCCAGTTGACAGCCTTACCTATGCTCCCAGCCAACCACAAGCATCCACTGCAACCATGTGAGTGAGTCCTTTTAGCCTTGTCATGTCTTTAGATGATTCTAGCTTCAGATACTATCTGCCTTCAATTACATGAAAGATCCCAAGCCAGATGCATCCAGCTGAACTCAGTCAACCCACAAAATCATAAAGCATAATAATAAATTGTTGCTTTAATCTACTAAATTTGGGGATGAAGTGTTCAATTAAAAAAAAACTGGAACATTAACCATTGTTAGCTGGTACTATTGCATTTGAAACTAATTACAGGAAATAGATGATGACAAAAGATCTCTGTAGACCTATCTTTTAAACTGGAACACAGCAATAGTGAGGAGACCTTACTATATATTATACCTTTCAAAATCATCTCAGACATAATGATTCAAAGAAACCAAGAAGAAATAAAAAGAAAACTCAAGATAGCACTTAGCACTTCATGTTTGGAATTGATGAGATGCCATTGTGAATATGGCACTTTACTGTTCACAAGAACCCTCAGGAATATGAATTATTATTATCCTCATTCTTTCTTTCCCCCTCCCTTCCTTTCTATATCTCTCCCTTCCTCCCTCCCTTCCCCCAATTCATTCTTTCTCTCCGTTCAATTTCCAAGTTGTTTTCACTGTGCTCCACTCTACTTCAGCTCCGCAGGATCTCCTCATGCTATGCATGGTATACAAAAGATTGCTGCTCAAGCAGGTGTCCCTGAGATGCCAGGGGAGCGATCTCTGAGGTGAGAGGGTAACTCCTGCAGGATTTCATCCGGAGAAGCCCTTAGGTGCTGCCTTAATCATCTTTGTTCTTCTCTCAGCTCAGAAATGATCAATGGCCTCTTTTTTAAGGAACAATGTAATATATATATATATATATATATATATATGTAATATAAATATATACATATATGTGTATATGTATATATTTATTTAAATATATATATATATATATATATTTAAAGCCATGACTACCAAAACGGATACATAAACCTTTGTTATCCTGAAGGACAAACAACTCTTTTTTGTTTTCAGGTATTCCAAAGTTGATTACATCTGATATGGTTAAAGAAGGTGCTGCTGTAATTGATGTGGGTATCAACTATGTCCATGATCCAGTGACAGGGAAGACAAAATTAGTTGGAGATGTGGACTTTGAAGGTAATAAACCCAATATCTTTTGATAAGCGAAGAAGATAAAAACATCTACCTTACATATTTTAAAAATATAAAGAGAAATTTTTCATTTATGGGGAATTATTACCTTATTAATCATCACCTCTTTCTTCTGAGGGAAAATAGTTTAATCAGACTTAAATATTTCCTTTCTCCCTCCCACTTTCTTTTTTTTTTTTTTTTTTAATTTTTTATTGGATTATAGGTTTTGGGGTACATGAGCAGAGCATGCAAGACAGTTGCGTAGGTACACACATGGCAGTGTGCTTTGCTTTTCTTCTCCCCTTCACCCACATTTGGCATTTCTCCCCAGGCTATCCCTCCCCACCTCCCCCTCCCACTGGCCCTCCCCTTTTCCCCCCAATAGACCCCAGTGTTTAGTACTCCCCTTTCTGTGTCCATGTGTTCTCATTTTTCATCACCCACCTATGAGTGAGAATATGCAGTGTTTCATTTTCTGTTCTTGTGTCAGTTTGCTGAGGATGATGTTCTCCAGATTCATCCATGTCCCTACAAACGACACGAACTCATCATTTCTGATTGCTGCATAATATTCCATGGTGTATATGTGCCACATTTTTCCAATCCAGTCTATTATCAATGGGCATTTGGGTTGATTCCAGGTCTTTGCTATTGTAAACAGTGCTGCAATGAACATTCGTGTACATGTGTCCTTATAGTAGAATGATTTATAGTCTTTTGGATATATACCCAGTAATGGGATTGCTGGGTCAAATGGAATTTCTATTTCTAAGGCCTTGAGGAATCGCCACACTGTCTTCCACAATGGTTGAACTAATTTACACTCTCACCAACAGTGTAAAAGTGTTCCTATTTCTCCACATCCTCTCCAGCATCTGTTGTCTCCAGATTTTTTCATGATCGCCATTCTAACTGGGGTGAGATGGTATCTCAATGTGGTTTTGATTTGCATCTCTCTGATGACCAGTGACGATGAGCATTTTTTCATATGATTGTTGGCCTCATATATGTCTTCTTTCGTAAAGTATCTGTTCATATCCTTTGCCCACTTTTGAATGGGCTTGTTTGTTTTTTTCCTGTAAATCTGCTTGAGTTCTTTGTAAATTCTGGATATCAGCCCTTTGTCAGATGGGTAGACTGCAAAAATTTTTTCCCATTCTGTTGGTTGCCGATCCACTCTAGTGACTGTTTCTTTTGCCGTGCAGAAGCTGTGGAGTTTCATTAGGTCCCATTTGTCTATTTTGGCTTTTGTTGCCAATGCTTTTGGTGTTTTGTTCATGAAGTCCTTTCCTACTCCTATGTCCTGGATAGTTTTTCCTAGATTTCCTTCTAGGGTTTTTATGGTGCCAGGTCTTATGTTTAAGTCTTTAATCCATCTGGAGTTAATTTTAGTGTAAGGTGTCAGGAAGGGGTCCAGTTTCTGCTTTCTGCACATGGCTTGCCAGTTTTCCCAACACCATTTGTTAAACATGGAATCCTTGCCCCATTGCTTGTTTTTGTCAGGTTTATCAAAGATTGTATAGTTGTATGTATGTTGTGTTGCCTCCGGTGCCTCTGTTTTGTTCCATTGGTCTATATCTCTGTTTTGGTACCAGTACCATGCTGTTTTGATTACTGTAGCCTTGTAGTATAGTTTGAAATCCGGTAGTGTGATGCCCCCCGCTGTGTTCTTTTTGCTTAGAATTGACTTGGCTATGCGGGCTCTCTTTTGGTTCCATATGAAGTTCATGGTGGTTTTTTCCAGTTCTGTGAAGAAAGTCAATGGTAGCTTGATGGGGATAGCGTTGATTCTGTAAATTACTTTGGGCAGTATAGCCATTTTCACGATATTAATTCTTCCTAACCATGAACATGGAATGTTTCTCCATCTGTTTGTGTCCTCTCTGATTTCGTTGAGCAGTGGTTTGTAGTTCTCCTTGAAGAGGTCCCTTACGTTCCTTGTGAGTTGTATTCCAAGGTATTTTATTCTTTTTGTAGCAATTGCGAATGGCAGTTCGCTCTTGATTTGGCTTTCTTTAAGTCTGTTATTGGTGTAGACGAATGCTTATGATTTTTGCACATTGATTTTATATCCTGAGACTTTGCTGAAGTTGTTTATCAGTTTCAGGAGTTTTTGGGCTGAGGCAATGGGGTCTTCTAGGTATACTATCATGTCGTCTGCAAATAGAGACAATTTGGCTTCCACCTTTCCTATTTGAATACCCTTTATTTCTTTTTCTTGCCTGATTGCTCTGGCTAGAACTTCCAGTACTATATTGAATAGGAGTGGTGAGAGAGGGCATCCTTGTCTAGTGCCAGATTTCAAAGGAAATGCTTCCAGTTTTTGCCCATTCAGTATGATATTGGCTGTTGGTTTGTTATAAATAGCTTTTATTACTTTGAGATACGTTCCATCGATACCGAGTTTATTGAGGGTTTTTAGCATAAAGGGCTGTTGAATTTTGTCAAATGCCTTCTCTGCGTCAATTGAGATAATCATGTGGTTTTTGTTTTTGGTTCTGTTTATGTGGTGAATTACATTGATAGACTTGCGTATGTTGAACCAGCCTTGCATCCCCGGGATGAATCCTACTTGATCATGATGAATAAGTTTTTTGATTTGCTGTTGCAATCGGCTTGCCAATATTTTATTGAAGATTTTTGCATCTATGTTCATCATGGATATTGGCCTGAAGTTTTCTTTTCTCGTTTGGTCTCTGCCGGGTTTTGGTATCAGGATGATGTTGGTCTCATAAAATGATTTGGGAAGGATTCCCTCTTTTTGGATTGTTTGAAATAGTTTTAGAAGGAATGGTACCAGCTCCTCCTTGTGTGTCTGGTAGAATTCGGCTGTGAACCCGTCTGGACCTGGGCTTTTTTTGTGAGGTAGGCTCTTAATTGCTGCCTCGACTTCAGACCTTGTTATTGGTCTATTCATAGTTTCAGCTTCCTCCTGGTTTAGGCTTGGGAGGACACAGGAGTCCAGGAATTTATCCATTTCTTCCAGGTTTACTAGTTTATGTGCATAGAGTTGTTTGTAATATTCTCTGATGATGGTTTGAATTTCTGTGGAATCTGTGGTGATTTCCCCTTTATCATTTTTTATTGCATCTATTTGGTTGTTCTCTCTTTTCTTTTTAATCAATCTGGCTAGTGGTCTGTCTATTTTGTTGATCTTTTCAAAACACCAGCTCTTGGATTTATTGATTTTTTGAAGGGTTTTTCGTGTCTCAATCTCCTTCAGCTCAGCTCTGATCTTAGTAATTTCTTGTCTTCTGCTGGGTTTTGAGTTTTTTTGATCTTGCTCCTCTAGCTCTTTCAATTTTGACGATAGGGTGTCAATTTTGGATCTCTCCATTCTCCTCATATGGGCACTTATTGCTATATACTTTCCTCTAGAGACTGCTTTAAATGTGTCCCAGAGGTTCTGGCACGTTGTGTCTCCGTTCTCATTGGTGTCGAAGAACTTCTTTATTTCTGCCTTCATTTTGTTGTTTACCCAGTCAACATTCAAGAGCCAGTTGTTCAGTTTCCATGAAGCTGTGCAGTTCTGGGTCGGTTTCTGAATTCTGAGTTCTAACTTGATTGCACTATGGTCTGAGAGGCTGTTTGTTATGATTTCAGTTGTTTTGCATTTGTTGAGCAGTGCTTTACTTCCAATTATGTGGTCAATTTTAGAGTAGGTGTGATGTGGTGCTGAGAAGAATGTGTATTCTGTGGATTTGGGGTGGAGAGTTCTGTAAATGTCCACCAGGTTTGCTTGCTCCAGGTCTGAGTTCAAGCCCTGGATATCCTTGTTGATTGTCTGTCTGGTTGATCTGTCTAGTATTGACAGTGGAGTGTTAAAGTCTCCCACTATTATTGTGTGGGAGTCTAAGTCCTTTTGTAAGTCATTAAGAACTTGCCTTATGTATCTGGGTGCTCCTGTGTTGGGTCCATATATGTTTAGGATCGTTAGCTCTTCTTGTTGTATCGATCCTTTTACCATTATGTAATGGCCTTCTTTGTCTCTTTTGATCTTTGTTGCTTTAAAGTCTATTTTATCAGAGATGAGAATTGCAACTCCTGCTTTTTTTTGCTTTCCATTAGCTTGGTAAATCTTCCTCCATCACTTTATTTTGAGCCTTTGTGTATCCTTGCATGTGAGATGGGTTTCCTGGATACAGCACACTGATGGGTTTTGGATTTTTATCCAATTTGCCAGTCTGTGTCTTTTGATTGGTGCATTTAGTCCATTTACATTTAGGGTTAATATTGTTATGTGTGAATTTGATACTGCCATTTTGATGCTAAGTGGCTGTTTTGCCTGTTAGTTGTTGTAGATTCTTCATTATGTTGAAGCTCTTTAGCTTTCAGTGTGATTTTGGAATGGCTGGTACTGATTGATCCTTTCTATGTGTAGTGCCTCTTTTAGGAGCTCTTGTAAAGCAGGCCTGGTGGTGACAAAATCTCTGAGTACTTGCTTGTTCGCAAAGGATTTTATTTTTCCTTCACTTCTGAAGCTCAGTTTGGCTGGATATGAAATTCTGGGTTGAAAGTTCTTTTCTTTAAGGATGTTGAATATTGGCCCCCACTCTCTTCTGGCTTGTAGTGTTTCTGCCGAGAGATCTGCTGTGAGTCTGATGGGCTTCCCTTTGTGGGTGACCCGACCTTTCTCCCTGGCTGCCCTTAGTATTTTCTCCTTTATTTCAACCCTGTTGAATCTGACGATTATGTGCCTTGGGGTTGCTCTTCTTGCGGAATATCTTTGTGGTGTTCTCTGTATTTCCTGCAATTGAGTGTTGGCTTGTCTTGCTAGGTGGGGGAAATTTTCCTGGATGATGTCCTGAAGAGTATTTTCTAGCTTGGATTCATTCTCTTTGTCCCCTTCTGGTACACCTATCAAACGTAGGTTAGGTCTTTTCACATAGTCCCACATTTCTTGGAGACTTTGTTCATTCCTTTTTGCGCTTTTTTCTCTGATCTTGGTTTCTCGTTTTATTTCATTGAGTTGGTCTTCAACTTCAGATATTCTTTCTTCTGCT